AATTATTTTAAAAATAGTTTCAAGTATTTTAGTATTCTAAGTTCCTACATATCAAAAGATGAGATGAACAATTTGAAAATTGATCTCTACAAAGATTTAACCGAGCATCTGAAAGCCATAAAAAATGAAAACCCAATTGCATGTTGAGATAAGAAGCCCTTCCCCGCGGCGAATCAGAAGTTCGACAGACCAAGCTGTACGAATTCTATCAAATAGACTGTAAGTTGTATTAGTCCAAAAATCAGCAACAATACAGAAAGCATTTGACTAAGAGTGCAATGATCAAATAGACAACCTGCACAGAGACAATCTTTGGATGGTGAGTGCCCCTTTCAGCTACCTGAACAAACCTTATCACCCCATATCTAATCTACAAAACAAAAATTTCCGTTCAATTCACATGGGAATTTTATGACTTATCAAAGAAAGTGGAAGAAAGGCAACAGTATGGAACTAACCTTACCAGAATCAACAGCTCGTCCAAGAGCATCAAGTTGTTTGTCTATATATAAGAATCGAACAAAAATGTCGGGTTGGATCATACTCAGTTTCTCCAAGTATGGGAACATAGCTACAAAAACATTCACTAATCATTTCAAGTCTTACTAACAGGGATTGTGTAGGCACAAAGTCGAAAAAGCAAGACAAGCCTGGGTGAAGGCAAGCAAATTATGGAGTTGTAAACATATATAGTTGGGAAAAATAATGCGAAAGCAATGAACCTTCCCATTGTCAAATTCATGTCAATCTGCAAATTTACAGAAATGTGAAAGAAAAATCTGAAAACACTTAACCTGTCTGCAATCGCCTTAAGCTGCATTTAAACATTACAAAACTCATCACTCAGCATAGCATAACACGAAGCGTTTAAACAGAAGAAAAATTACGAACTGTTTGCTTTAGCAAACCTGCCGTCAAAGAAATTGATGCCGGACAGGAAAGCTTGGTCGATGAGGCCAAATGACTCCGGAAACGTGTTTTGCTCACCGAAAGTCATCGTCCCTACGAAGAATGAATTTGTATTTGAGGATGAGAGGGAGGGCCAAAGAATCAGACTCAGAGTCGGTAAGATTGGGCCGAGGTTGAAGAGAGGCACCGCCATTGCTTCGCAGGAGACGCTCCTTGAGTTTGTCAACTGAGTGGAACGGGAAGGAGAAAAATCAAAGTATCTGCTATATCGGCGCAAGTTTGGTGGATTTTCAGGGGTTCGATAAGATAAAAACAGAACCGAGTATCTATCTATGTGCTCGAAAAATCGTCCAACAAATTAAATAAATAAATAAATCCGCCTAGGCGGGCTAGGCGGGTTAGGTCCTTCTTTTTTTTTGGTTTTGTTTTTTGAGACTTTAAATAAAACCTAGTCTTGGAGGGATATGGAGAGGAGGAGGAAGAGTTAGATTTAGAGGCCTAGCGTTTCATTTCAATTATTTTTCTTTGTAGTAACTTTTTCCCATGTTTTATATCAATATAATTTATATATCCTTTTATTTTGCATGATTTTAGTATAAATTTATCATTTATAATACAAAATAATAATAATATTTTTTTTTAAATGCCTAGGTCCAATTACTCTTCTAGCCGCTAGGTCCTTGCCTATCGCCTAGTGATTTTTCAAACATTGCTATCTACATCTATAAAATTCCTCATTGCACCTCATAATTGATACAAAATATTTATTTACTAAAAACCACCCTCAAATCAAATTATTTTTACATTGACAACTACTTCCTGTTTCATTTAAAATTCATAAAATTTTGGTTTTCTTTTTTTAAAATATTTAAAAATATATATTGTATTTTAATAAAATGAGAGGAACCAAAATTGAAACCAAAGCATAGCAAAGAGAGAGATTTCCCACTAGGCCAAACTCAAATTCGGTAGAATATTTTAACATTTTAATAATAGAATTTATTTTTTTTGTTGAGAAAATTCTAATATATTATGACTATTCCTATTAAACATTTCTTTTATTCTGAAGGTTGACATAATTAGTCGTTTACTATTTTTAATTTAGAGTTATAGTGAAAAGTCCATTTTTATATTATACAAATATCCCTTTTTAATTGGTTCTTAATTGTTGGGTTTGGGAGGAAGTCAATAGTTTAACCTTCCTTCCTCAATGGACCTCATCGTCCTCATGACTCACCCTCCAACTCTATCTATATCCATAACGGGAAAAACTTACTCGAGAAACAGATACTCTCAGATTCCCGCAATTTCTCAGCCCCCAAAAACCCATGGCGCCAAAATCCTTCAACCCCAAAACCCAAACATACACCTCCCCCCAACCTCCTGTCCCCTTTCCCACAGCCCAGCCTCTCCTTCATCTCCTTCCTCTTCTAATCCTCCATCTCTTTCCCAAACACGCCCTCGCCGACTCCGACACCGCCGAAACTCTAACCTTCCTAGGCGGCTATACGTGACTATTTATTAAAATAAAAAAAGAACCCGCCTAGGCGGCTGATTGTTCAAAAACTTGAATGGCGTTTTTTTTTTAAGATTTCTTTTTTCCTGGCAGGTCTGGCATCTCTGCAAATACTCAAAAATGGAGATCATCCCTCCTGTTGGTGATATGAGATATGAATCATTCTTGGACAAGTCAAAGCACGACATAGCCTCTTCCTCAGGGTTGGTGCTGGGAAGGTCATTGTTCATCAGCCACCTTGGTTTCCATAAATTAGGGTGAACCTTGGGAGTTGCCTGCATTTAATCAATATCATCAAAATCAAATGACCAATTATCGCTTCGGTTTCAATTTCGAAAGGAAAGATAGGAGAAATCTAATAGGAAAGAATTATAAAGCATGTCATTCTTTACCACTCCACTAGAATTAAGGTCCTGTGGCCATTTCCAGAGAAAATGAATGCCATTTGATGCTAACACCAAAATGGCATCACCTCCATTTGTGTAGACCAGCCTTGATATGTGAATTTCCAGAGACAAAACTAATGAGAAGCTGAGAAATTGCAATTGAGAATCAGTATTTTCCATTTTCATGAACAGTTATTCTCTTACCTAAATATTCAGTTTCATGTTTCTTTTGTTGTATTAATTGATTAGTTTAGTTACAAACTGAGTTGGTCTGGTTATCTGACCCAAAAGGAGTATGCTGCTTTCTGGGGCTCCAATTGTTGAGTCATCTTATCTTTTGAATATTGGTTTTGATCATTATTTCATCCCTTTCAATCATATTTCAATGCATTCAGATGCTGAAGAAATGTTCAACGAGCATAAAGATCAATTTTCTCCAATATGAGTAGTCGGGTCAGTGCAAAACTACGAGGGACATCAGTGTAAGTTATGCATCTGCAGCGGCAAAGGTAGATGCTTGAAGATGTATTCTCCTTTGAGACATTAAGCAATTTAATTTTCATCAAATTGACTGTAATGTTTAACTCAAGTAAATATGCATTTTATGAACCCTCATTGGGTTCCTCCTGCTTGTAGATTGCCACTAATAACGGATACCCTCCTATTTCTTATATTTAGTTGCAAATCAGATCATGTATTGGTTATCTTTAATTTTTTTTAGAGATTCAATCCCACTCGAGCCCAAACTTATAACTAGTGATCCCGATCAATCGTCCCGACCCTTTTCTTCTTTGTCAAAGAGAGATTGGTGAGTTTTGGCTCAAGTGAATGTGATCAAGATCATCTGGACTCAATCTTGACCCATCATAACTGTGTAATAATCGTGTCAATATATTCATACAAACAAGTGGCTCTTGGTGAGTGATGGCAAAGCGAAATAAATTTATGAATTCTTGCGCTTGAATTTTAATTACTGAAATTCTGTGCAAGGGAAAGCAAGGGA